TAGAACTAAGGAGAAATTTCCTGACAGTGAGAACAATTAATCAGTAGAACAACTTGCCTCCACAAATTGTGAATGCTCCAACACTGGATGTTTTAAGAAGATGTTGGACAACCATTTGTCTGAAGTGGTGCAGTTTCCTGCCTAGGAAGAGGGTTGGACTAGAAGACCTCCAAGGTCCCTTCCAATTTGGCGAATAAAGAATTCTATTCTATTCTATTCTATTCTATTCTATTCTATTTATTCTATTCTATTCTATTCTATTCTATTCTATTCTATTCTTTCCTGTCTAGAACAAATAATTATTTCATGAGAAATAATACTTTTATTAGTAATAATACTATTTATTAGATGAGGTGGTATTAATTAAATTTCTCTTTATTTTCTTTGCAGCGAGAAACACCAGCCGATGATTTGCCTAGAAACCCAGCTAAGTGATACAAAAATGTAAGTATCCTATCGAAATCTAAACCTTGACACATCCAAGCCCCAAAAACCGTTAAACTCTTTTACAGAAATCCCTCCGTGTCATTGATTGGGCTGTCGGTCCGCCGGGAGGGTGGAATCAAAAGAGTGGCTGCCATTTTGACTTTCTGCCCCTTCCTGGGGTCTACGGCTGATTCCATGCTCTTAAATTTTCCTTCTACTCTTTTAGTTATTCTATCTTAGTTTCCCTTTTCTGTTGCAGCATGAAGCATCTCCAAGCAAGCTGTATAGCCCCAGGGATATATCGAATTTTGTAATATATATTCCCAAACGAATATTTCTGTGCTAGTTTTTCTGCAAGGCAAAAAAGAGAGATTGGTTTCCGGCTCGCCTAAATTAACCATTAGCACTTGCGCTTCGATTAACCAAGTTGTTAAATACTTTTTGCTGCATATTTTTGTAACTGTTTCTAACCCAATCATTACCATATTTTTCGGACTATAAGATGCACCAGAATATAAGAGGCACCAAGAGTTCGAATATTTTTGGGCCTACACGCCACAGGTGGGTTTGCTGCTGGTTCGGCCCAGATTGGGCGAACTAGCAGTAGCGGTGGCAGGAGGCTCCACCCACCCATCCATACGCTTCTGCGCATGCGCAGAAAGCATCACATGCTAGCTCATACGGGAGCATGCCCGAACCAGTGCTAAAAAAATTAGCAACCTCTGCTCCACGCATCTGGTTTTTAGTCTCCCCAGCTCCCAGGAGCACTTTGTAGCCCTCCCAAGCCATCTGCGTGCCCCGTTTGTGAAAAACAAGTGAAAAATGGGTCCATTTTTGGCCTCCCAAACCCCCCAGGGGTGACGTTTTTGCTCTCCCCAACCCCCAGGAGCACTCTGCATGCCTCCCAAACCTTCTGCATGCTGCATTTTTGCTGAAAAAGGATACTCTGGGTGGGATTTCAGGAGGCCCAAAATGGTTGTATTCAGTGTATAAGACGCACCAATATTTCCATCCTCTTTTTTGGGCGGGGGGGAGTGCATCTGATACTCTGAAAAGTACGGCATTTTGTCACAAATACCTGAGACAATATTCTTCCCACAAGTTTAATCAAAGAGAAATGGCAGGCTAAGAAGGGGATATCCTACCAAATATTGAAGTCTTCTTGACACTCATTGGTTACTAATAGTATAGTAGAAGTGGCAGGCTAAGAAGGGGATATCCTACCAAATATTGAAGTCTTCTTGACACTCATTGGTTACTAATAGTATAGGTCGACATTTTGTGCCCTAATCCAAGACTAGGATTTAATCTTCTGATTTCCAGCCCTGATGTCTTAATCTCCACACCAAGCCATCTCTCGAATTATTTAGGGAAAAGATTAAACATTAACCTTGGCAAAGGGTTTCATTATTTTAAAGTCTCTTTTTGCACAGCTACCATTCCGGGAGAATAATTTCTCTTCGCTACGATGGAAGCACGGCTTTTCAAGCATCCAATCCTTTGTCTGTGTGGCAAATCGGTTTGGAAATTAAATCTGAAAACTAAAACTAAATGAAAACAAAAAGAGAGAGCATGCTGATTTCGTGCATGACTGGAGCATTGAAGAGATTTATTCGTTGCATATTGTCCTTTAAATCCCCCCCCAAAGGGCATGCCATTTAATCTTTTG